GTACCTAACCACATGCAGCCGTAAAACTTTTTTTAAATTTATTTAAATAAAAATAATACTAATATAAAACATTAATGTTTAAAAAATAATATTTAAAAAGATTTTTTTTAATTAATGTAGTCAAAAAGAAATTTTTCACTAACATTCCGCTAAGCTTAACGGAGAGATGATAATTTTTTTGTTGTTTAATTAGCTGTTTCAAAAATAATCAGGTATGACAGGATAGAAGAAGTGGCATAATTTATTTAATGCAATCTGCTTCATAAACTGATTTCATAAAACTTACGTTCATAAGATCATAATGTTTATATATGTACTTTACGCAATACCCCAAGGTTCTCGATGATAAGACTAAACTCAGTCTTCTACGAGTTCCCCTCAACAGTCAAAACGCTTATCAAGTCATAGCATATTTAATTATTGCTTCCTATGTTAATCTTAACGGTATTTTGTAAATTATTAAATTTTTATATTGGAAGTATATTTTGTTTATGTTATCGCAGTGTAAAAAAGTTTTGTAATTAATATGTAGTTGTGAAAATTTAAAGAAAAAAAAAAAAAAAAAAAGAGATCAGCTGACTCACTTGTTTGTGTTTATATGAAAAAAGTCGTCTCACCTGTGCACAGTGGTCTGAAAAACTTGATTTTAGGCCAAAATTAAAATTTTGATGTTATACTAACTCGATAATGCTGAATCCGGAAAACTGAAAAAACAGTTTTCGATATAAACGTTTTGTTGTTCAAATATCACAGCGACCCAGTCAAGAATTTCACGAAAAGTTTTCATTTTTTTGCTTGTGGTTTCATAATGTATCGCATTTATATATATATATATATATATATATATATATATATATATATATATATATATATATATATATATATATATATATATAAATATATATAAATATATATATATATATATATATATATATATATATATATATATATATATATATATATATATATATATATATATATATATATATATATATATATATATATATATATATATATGTATATATATATATATATATATATATATATATATATATATATATATATATATATATATATATATATATATATATATATATATATATCAAATCAAATCAAATCAAATATATTTCGAAATAAGTTATAACATTTCAAGGAAATTTACAATAGTACAAGTACTAATATAAAGTAAATACCTCAATATACAACGTAACGTTATAGTCAATGATGAAAGTAATAATAATAACTGTAGTAATTAATACTAATAATAATAATAATAGCAATAATAACAATAATAATAACAATAATAACAATGATTGTTATAAAAACAATAATAGCAACAACAACAACAAAAATAATAATTATAACAATAATAATAATAATAACGAAATAATAACAATTATAGTAAGAGAAGAATTTCATAAATAAAGACAATAACAGCAGCAACAAAAATTTAGTAAAGAGTGATGGCAACAACAAAGAATTAGTACGAAGTAGAGTAGTTGAGAAATAGAAAATTTTTGAATGAAAAGAGATAAATAGATAGATAAATAAAGAATGCCAACCCATTCGTACTAAAATTAATAATATTAGTATAGATAGTTTAATAATAAAGTTTAAAAATGGCAGATAGAAAACCAGAGAAATTAGATGTAGATAGATAAGTAGAGAATTTCAAAATGTTAAAAATATCAAATTAAAACCTGAAGGATTACGAATTGACATATATAGTAAAGAATGTCAATATTAGTTGGTAGAAATATTTAGTTGTATTTTTTTAACAGATAATTAAAATGCTTGATTTTGAATTCAGAGATTGAATTAAGAGATTTTAGATCAGGAGGTAGTTTGTTCCATGAGCTAATACATTGATACTTAATGGATTTATTTCCGTATTTAGCAGATTGGTGTTTCGGAATAACTAAGTTTAAGCTACTGATGGAGCGAAGAGGATAGTGACAATTTATAATTGAAAAGAAATTGTTGAATGATAGGGGAAGGTTTTTGTGATGATAATTCCAGACAAATAGGCAGTTGAGGAGTACCACAAGGTCGCTTATTTTTAATATTTTGGAGATTAGGCATAGTACATTAGATTTAGAGTTATTATACTGAAAATATATTAATATATAAAATGATTTGTTTATGGGATTGTCCCCATACTTGACATGCATATCTTAGATGAGACCCAAAAATAGCATGATATATATTTAGCAGAGTTTCTAGATTTACATAATGTCGAACTTTGGCTAGCATTCCATTAGATCTGCTGAGTTTCATTGCTAAGTCATTCAAATGGCCTTGAAAAGAAAGATTAGAATCAATTTTATTCCCAAGATATTTAATAGAGTATAAAGGATAAATTTTTTGTCCACTTAGTCTGAAATTTAATTGGTGCCAGATTAGATTTAAAGATGATAAGCTCTGTTTTGTTAGAATTAAGAGAAAGTTTATTAGAACGAAGCCACTGAGCAAGATTTCCAAGATCATGATTAATATGTTTGCTGATTTTTTTAAGTGATTTGTCAACCAGTAGCATGTATCCAGTAATATGTAACCAGTAGTACCATCAGCAAAATGGTAAGCAGTTGCAAATTTAAAAGAAGTATTCAAGTCATTAATAAAAAGAAGAAAAAGAAGTGGTCCTAAAACTGAACAACAAACTGTGTTCTATTTTGGAGATATGAAGTAAACCATTTTAGTGGGATGCCTCTGATTCCGTAGTATTCTAATTTTGTGAGAAGGATGGAGTGATCCACAGTATCAAAAGCTTTCTGCAAATCTACAAACACCCCACTTGCAAAGTGTTTATTATCTAGAGCTTTTCTAATCTTCTTAGTAATTTCAATAAGTGCAAGGGTTGTAGAATGTTTGCTTCGAAATCCAAATTGATATTGGTACAAGCATTTAAATTTATCTAGAAACTTTTTTTTTTATGTTGTTTACGTTGTTATTAAAATAATTTATGTTGTATGATTTTTTACTACTTTTTAATAAGTTGCTAATTTTATTTCTATATAATTATATTTATATACCTTATTTCTATATATATATATATATATATATATATATATATATATATATATATATATATATATATATATATATATATATATATATATATATATATATATACATATATATTATATATATATATATATATATATATATATATATATATATATATATATATATATATATATAATATATATGTATATATATATATATATATATATATATATATATATATATATATATATATATATATATTATATAGAATAAATAATAAAAACTACAAGCGAAAAATCCTAAAATTAGTCATAAATTGGGTATTAAATTTTTCATGAAACGCTACTATTCTAAATTTCAATTTAATAATTAATCTAAAGATATTTAAGTCAATACATTAAATTAAAAATAATAATATAAAAAGTAAAGGTACAATATGGAATAACAAAGATATGATTAAAAATGTGGTATAAAAACAGCATAAAATAAAATGTCAATACGGTATAGTTTGCAATTTAATATTAGTTCCTTTATTTTAATTTATCTATTTTTTAAATTATCTGCAGCTGATTTTTTTAGGAATTATTATGCGATAATAGATGTTCAAAAAATACCATAAACATGTTTTGATAGCGCTATACATCATATCTCTTTGCACTATACATCGATATTAAATTTACTAAAAATGAATTTTTTTAAGTATTTTTTTCTAGTTAGATATATGGAATATTTTATGAAAAATAAAATAAAAATTAATATTTGAACACTTTTTTACAGTTAAGGGTAGCAAGTACGATTGAATAAAGAAAAAAAAATTTTTTTGAACATGTATTTATAGAAATAAAACAAAAATAGAGAACTAGTATTTTTGACATAAAATTGGGAAAAAAATTTTGGGATAAGCTTTAAAGTTGGGTTATATATTTATATCAGCAGCTGATTTTTTTTTTTGAATAATATATGCATCTTAGGATTTAATAAAAGCATATTGATCAAGTCCATGCCAAGTTGACTTAGAGATTTTAGTTTTACGAAGAGGTTGAAATTGAAGAAAAAACTTTTATTTTATGCAAGTTTCAAACACAAATAACTTATACAAATATAAAATAATTAAAAATTATTATTTTAAATTAAACTCTAAACCATAAAATTTGTTTTTAAAAAAATCTATACATTTGTGCATATAGTTTTAAAATTATACTGAAATGAAAAATCTATTTTTGCAAGAAATTATTGATCGATTTTTAATCGCTTTTGGATACGGTTTTTGACTTTTCTTTCAAGAAAAAATATGAATTCTTTATATTTTTAAATAGTCTGGATAATGTTGTGTTTAAAAATAATAATAATAATAACAAAAATTACAGACTTTATAACTTTTGGCCAAAAATCAAGTTTTTCAGACCACTGTGCTGTGGGACTAAAAATGGGCGAGATCTCGTGAGTACAAGATGTCTGTATGTACAAACGAGATTTTGTCATGTTTAAAATTTAGCCATAAAAATTAAGTTTGTTTACATATGCAAACAAATTTAATTTTTTATGGGTAAATTTTAAACATGACGAGTTCTTGTTTAAGTTAGCCGCCTTTTGTAAAAAGCCTCTTTTAAATTGACTCAATTTTAATATTTATTTTGTTTCTAAATTCCGTCACGAAAATAAGTTCTCATTAAACAACCAAAAAAAAACAGGATTAAACTCCACGCGCTCTTAACATTATTTTGCGTGGTGACTTTTCATGACGTAAATGAATTTGTGTATAAATAGCTTTAACGTGAAAATTTAATAATTTACCTTTTAATTCCTATATATATATATATATATATATATATATATATATATATATATATATATATATATATATATATATATATATATATATATATATATATATATATATATATATATATATATATATATATATATATATATATATATATATATATATATATATATATATATATATGTATATATATATATATATATAAAATTCTTTATTTAGAGTTTAAACGAAGAAAATGAAGCTTTTTATTCTCGCATGTTTAATTTCAATTTTAACTGCAGAAAAAGAAATCAAAAGCAAAAAGGAAAATTGTAGTAATGGTATGTATACGTCGTATGTTTCTAGTTAATTTATCTATAAATCAATGATTAGCAGTGAAAGAAGAAGGATATTTTGATGTTTTAGATATGATACTATTTCAGGCATTGTTCAAACTCTAAACTCAAGCTTATGCTAAATGAGACTGGTATGGAAAATTTTTGCGTAGATAGGAGCCTGGGAACAAAGTTACCCAAAATAATCTGCAAATGCGAGGGCAATGAGTTAATAAAAAGTTATTTTTTAGCATACAAAATTAAACATTTTCATTTGACATAAGTATGAACATTTTTAAGTTTACAATTTTCACAATGTCAGAAAGTTTCTAGCATTGTGCAAACTCTGAAACATAAAAAAAATCTGACTACGCTACATATGGAAAGTAAACGCTGGTTAAACTGACGCTTTATATTTAGAATGGGTATTATTACAAAAAAACACGTGTTTTGAAGCTAAGGGTGACAATCCTGCAATTATTCCAGTTAAGATCAAAGGTTGGTTATCCGAAATTAAACTTGTTCATGTAAGTGGGGTTTTAAAATGCTGGCAGCATTCATCAGGGAGTAAATTTGGTTGCTACGATGGTGGTAATGATTTATATGTCTTCATTACTGATAACAAAAGAAAAGTGATTTTCCCATCTACTAACCAACCACTTACTTATGGACCAAGAGATTATAAACTTCCTGGTGTTACTGCTAATGATAATGAAGTGATATTCTCAAAACTCGAATATCCAGTACCATATCGAAGGGAAGAACAGTATATTAAAGTTTGGAATGGGGAAGATCTTTTTGGTTTTACCGAACATGATAATTCGGGAAAAGTTTGCGTTGACGCATATGGAATGTTTTTGTAACTGTTTAGTTGTTAAAAGCAAAAACAATTTTTCGTACTCCGTATTTTTTGTATTTCGTAGTTTTTTTTTTTTTTTAAATAAAGGAGCAAAATAATTACGGTATTAAATAATTGTTTTAAAATAACATAATATATTTTAAATAACATTATATATTTTAATAATCTCCTATACAAGAGTCTCTACTAAAATTGAAAGCCCTTGTAACTGTATTTATTTATAGGGAAGAAACTTTTAAGAAGAGGAAAAAACTTTTTTGCAAACTTTTGTGTAATGTATTATATTATTGTTAGATTACTTTATTATTTAACAATATTAAAAGATTGTTTAATGATCAATAAAAATGATTTTTTTCAAACGATAAATTATAATGTGTAGAGAAAAGTTTTTTTGTACTCAAATTTTTTTTTAAGTATGATGTTGTAAGCATGTTTATAGCTGTATTTATTTATTAGGAAGGCTAGGGCAAGGTAAAATACTTCACAATATTACGGCTTAAACTTTTTACTTTGCATTTTTAATTTAGTTTTTTCTTAATTTTTAAAGTTTTCTATTTTTTGAGTTATATTTAAAAGTGCTCGAGTGTCGAAAAAGATTTCACACATCTTTTTTGCCTGTGCTTTGCGCTATGGACACTCGTAAATGTAAAAAAGTAGATTGTTAGATTCGGTAAAGTTTGTTGTTTTTGTTGCTTGTTTGTTATATTTGTCTTGGACCAGCATGTTTCCGGACGAATATCACAAAATAAGTAATACCAAAAGTTTACACTACGCATAGTAAATATTGTTTGAATTTGTATACGAAACCCAATACAATTGTATTGAGCATGTGAAAATTGTATTGAGAATGTGACAATTAAATTGATCTTGTGACAATTGTATTGATAATAATATATCACGCGTATTACTTTTTTTGCCGGGATAGCTCTGTTAGTTTTTTTTTTTTTTTTTTTTTATTTTAATTCACCTCCTCAAGGCCGAGAAGGCCACTACAGACGAGGAGGCTACTTATTTGTGGCTTTAACCCTCTCTCAACTCTATAACTCCGAAACACGAACCTTGACAAACAAGGCCGCTGCGCGGAGAAACGAAAAACTACCGCATAGTTAGAGCGCTCCTAAAAGTTCGGAATTATTATTGGTTGTAGCAGCAGGATTGCAGATTCAAATCCCGATTTAGCCTACTCAGTGTATAATTAGTACCCGGTACAAGGGGCACTCGTCTTGGTTAGCTCTGATATTACGATGTTTCCTTCTGGTCTAGTAAATTAGTAATGTAGTCGAGTAAATGAAAATTATCGTTTATTTAAAAACAGTTTTTAATAAGAAATTAGGATTTTTTTAGAAACCCTACAATACTCTTATGCATTTATTTATCAAATAGTTTTTATATGTTGAGAAATTTTATGCAGTTCGATGAAGATTTGCAAAAAACATCAAATAAGTTGACTGAATGAAAACATCAAATAGCCTTTCAGAGATTTAGGAGTTCAATTTGAAACTTCTCTGTCTGCCAAAAGACACCCAATTTTTTAAATCTACTAAATAGTAATAATTTGGCAAATAAGCATTATATATATATATATATATATATATATATATATATATATATATATATATATATATATATATATATATATATATATATATATATATATATATATATATATATAAATGAGCAGCCGTGGCGCAGTGGTAGCGCACTTGCTTCAAAAACGTAAGATCCGTGGTTCAAACCCCACCTCTGGGCAAGTTTAGCGACATTGGTTGGGAAGGAGGCGTGAACTTCCTATTAAATGCTCTTCCGCGGTGCTCTGTGATAAGACCGTAAGGACATCTTGAGGCACCTTTATCTTAGAAAGATATATATATATATATATATATATATATATATATATATATATATATATATATATATATATATATATATATATATTATTAGGGCCGGTGCGAGTAGGTGTCACGTTGGGGGGTGTCATTACAACTTTTGCCGACTAAAAAAAAAAAAAAAGGTCCTTGTTTTTTTTAAATTTGCTAACTGCCCTCGGATTGCCATAACGACATTTTTTTTTCTTTATTACAATCATTATTACAATCTCTATTACAACTTTATGTGAATAAAACGTAAGACATAAAAGAGAAATAAATAATATTTACAATCAAGATTTCGTTAACAATAGAAAACAAATTAAAAATTAGGAATAAAGAATGCGGAAACTCGTAGAAGTCCGTGAGGTCTTATCGCAGAGAACCGCTGGAATTTAAACGCTTTAAATGTTCGTCTGCATAAATTTGTATGTTCATTTTTATTGATTTTTGTAAATGTTTATTTGCTTTTGAATTGGATCTACTTCGATAAATAATTATACAGTATCGGACAAAACAAGTGCAATCAAGTAGTGTTAATTTAGTTTCTTTATATAAAAGTGCTGCATTTTTCAATTTAAAGAAACAACTAAGTAACTGTTTAGAGACAACGTTCTTCAAGTTTTATTCATCACAAAGTTCATTATTTGTACACGAAAATTAATAAATTAATCAAAAGTATTAAATTAACATCTTTCAGGATATTTTTATACATGAAACGGTCCATTATTCCATCGATTCGATGTATTAGACTTAGACCGTTAGCAGAAAAACACCCCAGACCATTGCATTGCCTCCACCATGCTTCACGGTCTTATGGCAGAAACGTAAATCGAGGCGTTTTCTGGCCGGTCTACATACACAGCAAATGCCATCGCTCCCAATGAGGTTGAACTTCGGTTCATCACTGAACAGGACAGTTCGCCATTTCTGCACATTCCAGTTAATATGAGATGTAGCAAACAGGAGTCCTTTCTTCTGGTTCTTTAGCGAAATCAGCGGTTTCTTTACAGGTAGTCGAAAAAACAATCCGGCTTCAAAGCACGTCGTCTGATTGTTCAGCCCAATACAGGCAGCTCTAGTTGCTTTTGTATCTCAACTGATGATATCCAGGGATCCTTATTGACGGATCTGACTATCATGGAATCTTCTCTAGAAGTGGTGGAACGCGGTCTTCCACCTTTGTTATCTGCTGCCAACTTCCCCGATATTTGGAACATAGTCTTGATACGGTCCATTTTTTCACGCGATGTTTATCACAAATACTTTTTTGTGACATTACACTTACATAATCGTCAATAATTTTCTTTCTTAGTTCCAATCCAAGACTGTCAGGAGCCAATTTTTGTACTTGAAATCATAAAAATAATAAAAATAAATAATCACGCTTCTCAAGGCTTACCGTGTTACATTTACCTTGTGATGATACAATAATGCCCTGTGGAACACAACGTCTTGGTTGGATGTGGACTGTATTGATGTAATGAAACACTTGTTGTATTTCACTTTATGTATTGATGTTCTTAGATAAAACACTTTGATAAAACTCACTTCGATAAACTGTCTTGATAATACTGACTGATTGACTTCCATATACTGACTGAATTACATATCGGTTTGCATGTCTCTTATATAGTAAAATGAACCTGTGTAAACTTGTTCTGGAAGATTCTAGATGCTTCTTTCCGATGCTTCTGGAAGCTTCTGAATGCGTCTGGTTGCTTCTGAATGTTTCTGGATACTTCTGGATGCTTCTGGATGCTTCCAGTTGTTTCTTCTGGAAACTTTTGGAAGCTTCTGGATGCTTCTGAAAACTTCTGGAAACTTCAGGATACTTCCTTTAATTATTAAAAAACTTTCGTGACGTTGACACGGACCAGACTTAAGAAAATAAAACAAACCAAAAAAGTTGCACTTGTTTTGTCCGCTGCAAAATGGCACTTGTCAACGAAATTCTGGCTGTGTGCTGTCACCTGTCAGCTGATTGCTCATGTCATGGCATACTATGACTCCAGACTCCTGAACTGTTTGCTGTGGTAGTGTAGTTCGTTTCGTTTTTAAGACATGTAAAATTAGGAACACTTTTTAGCATTGTTCGATGTTGGTTGCAAATGTTTTGTCCAATACTGTAAATTTTACTTGCGTCAGCGCTAAAGTTGATATGATTCCAATATAGCAAGGACAATTATTTTTTAAACGATTCTATGTTCTTTTGATTAAAAATACATTTACTAAGTTTGATACTTTGCTTTATATTAATAGTCGAAATTGTATTGATGGTTAAAAAGATAGGGAAATGATCGGATATATCAGATTTTATAATGTCTTTTTGAAGGTCAGTATTGAAAATGTCAGTTGTTATAATATTATCAATAATTGTGGCAGAGTTATTAATTACTCTGGTTGGGCAGTTGATTAGTGGTATTCCTCCTGCTGTAAAAATATCGTCATAGAAGCTCCTTGCTTTATTGTCATCATCATATACTAAACAATCTATATTGAAATCCCCTATACGGGATTTCAATGAAAATAAAAAAAAATTACTTAATATATTAAGTAATTTTTTTTATTTTCATTGTTACCTTTGTTAGTTATGTATTGATGTAAGAATGAGCTATAATTTTCACTGACTTCGTCAGATGGCCTATAACAGCAGCTTAAAAGCTTTTATTCATATTGTTTGATATTTAAATAGTTACGATCTCTTTATCACCATCAGAAACGTTCAAGTCGCTTCTAACAAAATGTGTAGTTTTTACATTTGCCGACTGACTGTCTAAATTTACCGACTAATTTGTCGAAAGGATCTACATTTGCCGACTAACTAGTCAAAAAGGGTCAAATTTGCCGACTAAATGAACGAAAAAATTATTGATAGGGGGCAAGGGTGTTGCACCCCCACACACACCCCTATCACGCCGGCCTTATATATTAAGTTCGTTCACTTAATATATACAGAAAATTATATTGAAATTGATATTGTAAAAATAAAAAAAATAAAAATAAAAACTAGTACTCAATATTTAATTTAAAATGAAAACATCTACTTTGAGCAAACCTTCAACACCATATCAAACATCTACTTTGACCGAACTTTTTATACCATCTCATAAGTTTGGCCACTATATAAATACTAGTAACATATAACAAACTTAACGTCACAAATAATGAAAGC